GGATTCTCTAACACTTTGTCCTGTGTGCTGCTTCCATGTGCAAAGTAAGAAAATAGGAGATACTGAAGAAAGAAAAGATCCAACTGGACATAAACCTTGAGTATCTCCCAGCAATTTGCTGTTTTATAAAATAGCTCTGGGTTTATTCAGTATTTCCATTGAAAAAATAAAAATGGAATAAAAAAACCACTCCTGGAGTTGGAAAATATTAACTTCAGATAGATAAGAAGTACACTGCAAGACCAAACCAGAATTACAAGTTGGAAAAACAGTTCAAAATGTGAGTTTGGAGAGGAGAAATTATCAAATAAAAGAAAATGTGAGAACAAATGGTGTGACAGATGCCTCTGGGGTTTGAGGTGGTCACAGCTGACCTTTGCCAGCTGGGAATGCTCTCATGGAAAAGGAAATTTTTACTGAATGTTCTCCCTACCCAGCAACCTTTCAGTGGGACATAATAAAGAAACATCTACCAAAAAAAAAAAAAAGATACCTACAAAAGCCCAGAGAAGACTGTCAGATGAAATCATTTAGGAAAACACGTGAGGAATGAGATTCCACAATCATCCTGCTGCTGCTCCTGACTCTAAACCAGCAGATTTAAAATTGTGACTGCATGAAATGGCTTTGGAAAGGGTTAGAGAGCCCAGGAGGTTTATTGGGGATAACAACAACGACTGAATTCAGTAACTGAGGCTTTGGAGCATCCAAGGAGCTGCAATGTGCCATCTAGTGGGGATGGAACGGAGGGAAAAAGGGCAGGGAATCCTCCAGGAGAAGGAAGATTTGACAACAGTGTGAAATAAGCAGCAATAAAAAATACAGGAAGGTCAGGGAATAAATAATTTCAGCCTTCTATTACTGGCTTTGATGGGAATAATTTAAGCTCCAGAGCCTGAATCCACCTTTTCCCTGCAATGCCAAACTTCACTSCTCCACAATATCCCCAGATTTATTYTGTRTGCTCAAGCCACCTGAACTCACCTGTTCCATGGTTGCTTCRTGAAGTTCGTTCAAATTCAGAGTGTAGATCCCTTCTTCTGTGCCAAAGATAATGTACTGATCTGAAAAATCCAGGGAAAGGGATGATTCCCTCCCACTTTGGAACGTTTCAAATGCAAAAGTAACTTTACAGCAACTAAAACAACTTTACAAATGGATTTCTTTCCCAAGCCCATCACCAAAACTAAAATAATTTTACCTTTAGTATCTGGATGTATCCATGAAGTTGCACAATTAATCTTCAAAGGGCAACCATCAAAGACTTTGGAGAAACAGGCTCCCATCTGAAAGACACCAAAACTGAAACCTGAAAACGAATTTAGAGTGGAAAGAGTGGATTTCTGATCACTCACACACAGCTGAACACACACACAGTCTTCCACTCGTTTTGATTCCAATTTATGGACATTMAAAAATGCAAAGAGGGATCAAAATGGTATCAACAACTTTAGGGACCTACTGGGTCAGAAAAATAGATCCTGGAGGGATTTAAAATCATGTGGATGTGGCACTTGGGGACATGGGACAGGGGTGACCTCGGCGGTGCTGGGGGAATGGTTGGGCTCAGTGATTTTAGAGGGCTTTTCCAACCTAAATTATTCTATAATTGTGTGAGAATTGAGTATTTTATGTTGAATATAATAAACATATGGATATTGAGTGTTTATAAAATAGCACATGAAGGGAAAACAGGCAATGACACCCTCTTATCATCACCACATTTCCCATTTCTCTTCCTATCAGGGGCTGCCACTGGAGGTCACAGAGCCAGGGAAGCCTCCAACCCTTCCCAGAGGCAGGAAATTTTGAAAAAATGGGAATAAATATTGAGGATTAAGGAAAAGTAACTGGCTGTGARATGCAGAAAATCCCCCCAGATGAGCTGGTGCCTTATTCCAACAAAAACCTCCCACAGCAGAGAGAGGAAGTTTCTAGAATTCCGGAATTCCTTACCAGCACCTTCGGGGTCGGAGGCAAACCGTTGATTGCTGGTTTCTGAGGGGAAAAAAAGAAAGAAAGATCATAAATCACCTGCACAAAACCAGCTTGGGGACATGACAGTGAAATCAGCCCCAGAATCCCAACACTTACAGGGAAATCTCTCTTCTCCTTTTTCCGTGGCAGCTGAGGGATCTGTCCAGGTCCTTCTGCRTTCTCCTCGATGTGTTTCAACATCCCATTCCCATTGCCTGAAAAGYAGCCCAGACATGATTTGAAGCTTTTTTTTAACACAATGAAATAGAAAATATCTGCTCCCTTATCTGAAATAGAAATTTTTCTGAAATAGAAAAATCTCTGCTCCCTGTGCTGAGGAGGGGAGGAGGCAGCTCTGACATTCAGGGAGCTGAACCCTCCCCAGCACAGCCATTCCTGCTGAGTTACACACTGCCCCTTATCCAAACAGTCCCTGGGCCAAATTCCACTGGGAATAAAGCTGTGCCAAGGGCCTCCCCACACATTCATTGTTTTTCCCCTGTTCCTGCAGGCAGCACAGGAATGGGATTGACTGGCTGAGTGTTCTCCAACATTCCCACCACAGTCATGGCTCTAATAAAAACCACACATGGAAAAAGGAAAACTTCACCTCGTGATCAGCTTGTTTTAAAAAAAAAAATGATCCCCTGGGAACAGCAATTCCTTTTCCAGGGTGCCAGCCAAATTTAGGGCAGGTAAAGCATTTACCCAGGTCGCTGTATCTGGCTGTGAGCAATCCAGGGCTGCTGATGCTGCTGGTCATGCCCATGGGGCAGGGATCTGCCTGGGGCCCACAAACTGGGATGCTCTGTCTCCTGTGGGCTGCTGGGGCTCTGTTCTGGGAATCTGGGAAGTGTTTTATTGTCTGGCATCTCTCGTCGTCCGGGAGGTTTTCCTCGGGGTAATTGTTCATCCTCGGCTGCAAGGAAAAAAGAGGGGGTGGTTACTTGGGGAATGGAAGGAATTGGGAATGGCATTGGGAAGAATCAACTTCAGACAAACTGAATTCAAGCAAAAAAAAAAAAAATCAGCCTTTGAAAAGTGCATGTGGTTTTGGGCATGGTGATGTAAGGAAGATAAAAAGCTCCCTGGTGAGCAGGGACAGGACCCAGGAATGGCTGGAGCTGTGCCAGGGTGGGTTCAGGTTGATTTTTGGGAAAGGTTCTTCTTCTGTCCTCAGGAATGGCTGGAGCTGTGCCAGGGTGGGTTTAGGTTGGATTTTTGGGAAAGGTTTTTCTGTCCCCAGAGGGTGCTGGCACTGCCCAGGCTCCCCAGGGAATGGTCCCAGCCCCGAGGCTGCCAGAGCTCCAGGAGCGTTTGTGGATGCACAGGAGGGATTTTTGGGGTGTCTGGGCAGGGTCAGGGGTTGGGATCATCCCTGTGGGTCCTTCCAGCTCAGGATATTCTGTGATTCCATGAAAATAAAGACATCTGCCAGCAGAATAATTTCAGAGCTTGCTCCGTGATGGAAAAGCTCAGCAAAGCACAGAACAAGAGGCCATCCCAGGCTGACCAAACCCCCGAAATCCCACATTTCTCACCTTGGGGGGCAGTGGGGGTGGCCCAGCTCGCTTCAGGGTCGATCTGCAATGAAAAGAGCAGCAGTTGTGTGAGTTAAACCAAGCCCAGAACTCCGAAGGACTGGAAGTAAGATAAACCAGAAGCACAGAAAAGGCAGAGCAGAGCTTTGCACACACAGGGTCTGAGGGCAGGGGAGAAGCTCATTAATCTCGTTAGAAGTGTTGATTTTTAATAAACTGTTTTTGCATCAATGCCAATGTTATTGTTACARAGCAATTTGTGGGGAAAGATGTTTGGGGTTTGTAAATAAATGAACATCCAGGACTGGATCTCAGSCTGGGGGGACTTGGAACAAGGGATGGAAGGACAGGACGAGGGGGAATGGTTTTAACCTGGAAAAGGGYAGATTTTGATAGGATTTTGGGGAGAAATTCCTGGCTGTGAGGGTGGGGAGGTGAGAAGCTGTGGCTGCCCCTGGATCCCTGAAAATGTCCAAGGTCAGGTTGGACAGGGTTTGGAGCACCCTGGGACAGTGGAAGGTGTCCCTGCCATGACAGGGGGTGGAAGGAGATGGGATTTAATGTCCCTTCCACCCAAACCATTCTGGGATTCTGGAATTCTGGAATTCCAGTTTGCAGCTTTGCTTCKGGATCAGMCAAATTTCTGGACACCAGAGCTGTGCAGAATCCCTGCACATCCTGTCACAACCACGTGGATTCATCARCACAAAATCTGCTTTGAAACATCCAGAGGAGCTCTGAGACAACTGAGGGAGGAGAGCAGGGCAGAAAGCAGAGTTTTGGGATTTTTCCTAAGGGTCAGGAAGGAGCCAAGCACACAYAGGGCTGGGAAGAGCAGCCAGGCTCGCTCGCTGTGAGTGGCAAAGGCTCCTGCAGCTTTGGGAGGGGAGAGCAGCAGAGCAAYTTTGGGAAGGAGAGGCACTCACTCTTCAGCATCTTCACTGCCATCGCCAAATTTTGTGAGCAGTCCCCTAAGGCAGAATGTTTGGAAAATTAAGAGCTCTGCTCTGAGGTCGACACGTGCAACTCAACCCATCCCTGATGTCACCGAGTTTCCCAAAAAGCAACTCCCAGCCCTTTCCAAAACACTGCACTTTTTTCTTTTTTTCTTTTTTTCTTTTTTTTTTTTTCTCTGTCAGGTCCTTTCCTTCCCCTTACCCCCTAAAAACCACTGAATTTCTCTTCCACACCATCAGCTTTCATTTCCCTGCCCGGTGTTTTAAATATTGTTGAAATGTCTGACAAAAGTACAATATAAAAAGAGAAAAAAAAGAACAGAGGAAGTTCTTTTTAGAAGAGAAAAGCCTTTAAAGGGAAGTTTCCTTATTTATACATATGCACAAAAAGCCCAGACTGTTTCCCACTACAGTGGGAATTTTTGTTTCAAAGCTGCTCCAGGGACAACAGAAAAAGAAATTATGACTAGAGGATCAAAGCAGCACTGAAAATATAACCTTGAACAAAAAAAAAAACCCTGATAAAATTTTGCAAAATGGCAATTTTCAAGCTGTGTCTTCAAAGGGCAATGACCAGGAAAACCCAGCCAAATTTGGATTAATGTGAAATTTCCCTGCAAGTCTCTTCTGAGGGAAAGCAGCAGCCAGTTGTCAACAGGAATGATTCAAAATTTTTTAAAAGTCTTTCTTTTTGGAAGGTTTTTATTGTTCAGAGAAGCTGTGGCTGCTCCTGGAAGTGTCCAAGGCCAGGTTGGAGGGAATTGGAGCACCCTGGGATTGTGGAAGGTGTCCCTGCCCATGGTGGAACTGGATGAGTTTAATGTCCATTCCAACCCAAACCATTCTGGGATTTTGGAATTCTGGAATTCTGGGATTCCAGTTTGCAGCTTTGCTTCTGGATCAGACAAACTTCTGACACCAAAAAGTGGAAGGTGTCCCTGCCATGGCAGGGGTGGGATGGGATGGGCTTTAATGTCCCTTCCACCCCAAACCATTGTGGGATTCCACAAAAACCATCAATAAAAACCCCCTCCATAATGCAGAACAGTCACACTAAAGTATTTTAAAACATTACAATTAAAAAAAAAATAGAGATAAATTCCATCAGCAGGTAGACATTCTGGTATTCCTCATTCCTCAATCAAAGCCATCCCTCACCACTCTCTCTGACAAAAACCACAGGGAATGAAAARCCAGGACCCCCCAGCACAAATCCTCTCTGAACATCCCAAGGATTACTCAAAGCACTGGGACAGAGCAGTTATGCATTTCCTGTTTATCTTTCCAGCTGGAAGTGGTTTCCAAGTGAGCAGCACAGTTTTGAGCTGTGCCTGCTCTCGTTCCAGCACTGAATTCGTACCCATTTTCTGATTTATAGCCCTGGCTGTAAATTTTTGGGGTCTCTGGTTTGCTGCAGCTAGGCACAGAAAAAGCCACGGGAATGGGGTCAAATCCTCTCCTTCCCTCTCTGCTCCTCGACCCTGCAGAAAATCCTGCACTCCCAGCAAAAATTCCATAAGAAAGTCAAACAAATAAACTCAGGGCACAGGGAGGGAGGAAACAGCCCAGAACCCCACAAAATGCAGGCTCAGAGTCCCCAAAACTCCTGCCTGGGAACAGGAAACCCAGGATGCTGAAAAAAACCTCAAATTCTGGCAATCTCGACCAACTTTCCAGGGGGCTGTAATGTCAGCTGACAGCTTATGCAAGGCTTTTATCTGCAGCAAAAATAATAAAAAAAAAACAGCCAAAGAAATTCACTGTCTGCTGCTCAGTTCCAAAKAAAGATGGGAAACAGGATCTTTGAGCTGAGCAGTTATTTGAGYCCAGATCCTACATCTGAACCTCCACACTGCTCACTGCAAATCCAGAGATTCCTTTAAAGGCAAAATCCACTCTTTTGCAACAAAATAAACTCAAAAAGTCAGTCCTAACTCAGAGAAAGCWGTGCTCCTGTGCTTCAGACCTGAGAAATCAGCTCTAAAAACATCCATGGCTGAGTGCTGACCCTGATCAGACCCACAGCAGTAAAATTTTAACTTTTCTCCTTCCTTTTCTCGAGCTCAGGGCTGTTTTGGCCTCGTCACAGGATGTCACAACCACAGGAACAGCTCAGAGGAGAAGTGTGAGGTCAGAGCAGGATCCTCTGGGTGAGATGGGTTTTTGCTGCAGGAAATTTGCTGGGGGTGGTTTTTGGCATTGTCCTGGTGGGGCATTTACCCTTCACCTCACACCTACAAATTCCCATCGAGATGCTTTTGGGGTTAAAGAGGTTAAAAATCACTCCCCAAGATGATTGAGCTGCAGATGGAGAGCTCCACACGGGGTAAAATCCTAATTTATGAATATCAAAGTGGATCAGGATTTATGGTTTGATTTTTCCACCGTCACTTGTTTTTCTTTCAGTTTCATATTAAATCACCCAAARAAAAGCTGATTTTATCTGGACTTACTTGTTGCTTCCATCCACAAAAGGATTCCAATGTGAAGCAAAGTCACTGCCTGCTGCCACAACCTGAAAATGCAGAAATTGTCATTTTTAACACCCCTTGTCAAATTAAAGGATTTTAAAGCACCTTATCCAAAGAAGCCTGGAGATTCCCCAACCCTGCAGAATGATTCCTAAGCAGGAAAATCAAATTCCAAAGCAAAATAAACTTCTACAATCTATAAAATAATTATTGATAAGCTATTTTCTTCTTTTTAGACTTAAAAGCAGCATCTGGAAATGGTGTAATGTGTGGATGAAGTGGCAAAAGTAACAGGGAAACAAAAATTTGTGGGGAAAACTTGAAGGGGTCACTTTAAAAATATTTTTCCAGCAAGCTGCTAAGGGCTGAACAAGAAAATATTGAGGAAGTGATTTAAATAAATAAATAAAAATCCAAACTTACCATTTCATCCCGAGCTTCTGTTTCTTTTCGTAGAGGGGGCTCAAACTGCAGCTTATCAACTACAAAACATCAAATTTTTATAATTAATGCACAAAACTTTGCACTGGGGCCCTTCAGTGCTSACTACAGCTTAGAACCATCTGAGTAGTTGATTAATACTGATGTTAATTTTAGATTGGAATAATTATTGTTGAAAATTCCCATGCATGTGCTGCTTTTYCTGGGTTTGCTTCCCATATGGGGAAGAGATTTTTGGAAAATAACAACACTTTTGGCCAAACCTGAAAATAAAATAATTTCTACCATCAAAATTTCACTGTAGATCCATCTGAGCAGTAAATTAATATCGATGCTATTTCAGTTTTCAATAATTATTACTGACAATTTTCATGCATTTGCTGCTTCTCCAGGGTTTGCTTCCCATACAGGAAGAAATTTTTGGGAAA